CCTGGGGAACCGAGGATGGTCGGGATGGGCGATGCCCACTTTGCCGAGCCGGTACCTGTTTCCACTCCTCCTCATCTCTCAAATTGCCTGGCTCTGCTCGGCGGCAGCAGGGCAAGGGGTCCACCACCGTGTGGTGAATATCACCTTGATGCCTTTCAGGGGGAGAGTTAGACTGGTTTTGCCACTGCCCCACATTCTGCAACCCCCCCACCACCCCACCATTGCTGCTGGGGGGAGGTTCCTCATCGGTCAGGCCTGTCTGACTGTGACTGGGAAGAGGGTCAACCACTTTTCTGGGGATATCCCCCTGGCACCCTTCCCTCCGGCCCGCCAGCAGGTCACTCCACTGATCAGTTTCCCTCTCAAACTCCCTGATGGCCCTTAGCCTCTGCACCTCCTCCTTGAGCTCCAGCACCAGGCTGAGCAGCTCATCTACCTGCTCACACCTCACACAGGTTGGATCCCTGCCACCCTCCCCGGGCAGCAGCAGGCTCAGGCACTCCCTGCAGCCAGAGACCTGAACAGCACCATCTCTGGGCAGGCTCTCCGTCTGGGTCGCCACTGTCTTCTTGGAATCAGCCCGCTGTTTGGTGGAGACCGTGTTTAGGCCTTCAGTCTCAGAGACTGCTCTGAAGCTAGTCTCCGCAGCAATTATATTAGCCATCCATAATGCTATCAATGCAGAAGTGCTTCTTAGAGTTTCTAAAGCACAAGAAAGGATAACTGAGTGTATGAAGCACCAGTGCTCATGGATTGTAAAAGGTGTGAGGCTGAAGTTTAAGAATTTACATACTCTGTCTGTGGTTGTGATGGACTTGCAGAAGTGTGTTTGGCTTGCAAGCTTTACGGAATATTGTTACAGTGCCTGTATTTGGACACATAGCTTGTCCCAGTTGTGTAGTGAGATTCATTGTTGTAGAATCCCCTCACTGAGGCTTAAGGTCAAGCATTTTGCTTTGTGTTTTGCTGTAGTGTGGGAACAAGCACACAGTCAGCTTAGGAATCTTAGCTGATGGGCAGAAATTTGTTAAGTCAGGATAACTCAGTTTTATTTGTATGTCTGTGTTTTGAGGCATTTCATTTGGAATGTATGCCACCTAAATGATAACTCTGTTAAGAGTGAGGTTTTTTAATTGAGAAATTTTGATCATGGGATAAATTTGTCATAAGAAAGAAGACAGAAGGTACTAAAAAAGCTGTGTGGTGTGTGAATGAGGGCTAGGAAGTTCCAGAATTCTTTTGTTTTTCCAAAGTATGTGCATCCACCCTAAAACTGTACTAAATGAGGTTGTTAAGAGGCAACTGTCATCCTAAGTATCTTGCTATGCAAATAAGCTCTACTGTGTTAGATGTTACTGTCTTGAGAACTTTCTTAAGGTATAGATACATGTCTTCTGATCTTACTGGTAACAACAGTAGAATTTTCTGCCTCTTCTGTCCTTACTAGGGTTTAATGCTTCATGCCCCATTTTTTTGTGGAATTCTTGGGTTCATGTGATGGCTTCTAATCTGTTTGGGTCAAAATAAGCCTTTTTAGCAGAGATCAGCTGCTTTACACTTTAAGCTCACCTGCTGTTCTTTGGGAATGCAAAGCAGCAGGGGTGGTCAGGCCAGCTGATGAGGAATTGCGCATTTACCCACTCAGTTCTATCATGTGCTGCTTTGAGCTGTCTTTGAGAGAAACTTGAGGCTTTTCAGCATTATTTGAGGGATGTGGTGTAAATGGACAAGTTCACTCCCAGGTGATTACAGTTCACATTGCAAAAATTACTTTTGCATTTTCACCTGACTACTGTGATGTTTGGTGTATAAAGTTAAATGTTATTCTATTTTGGAGGGTTTCATATTGCGGAGAAAGAACAAAGACGGCTGGTACTGAATGAAAGAGCAGTTCTTGTTCAAGTGTAGGATTTACATCTGTTTTTGCAGTGTGATATTCCAACTCAGGAGTCTTTATAGGGCCAAGTGTTCCGCAGGTACTGGTAAAATCGTTGTTATATGTTGGTAAATTTCATAGTACTAGATAAGCATGAAATCTTGCTTTCCTGGCTCACAGTATTGGTACTTCAAAGGACTCCATAGCTGTCTGTTTGACACGTCTACAATGTTGTGAGCCTCCACTGAGAAAGCCAACAAATGGACCAGCTAGTTATTTGTCAAGTTACTTCTGTGTGATCTGAACATCTGCCTTTTGTATGTTTCTGAGGTCAGTTTATTGTCCATGGGCAGCTGTGAGTGTAACTCACTACTACTGTTCTGGGACCAGGATGCTGCTGTTACTGTAAAGGAGAGAGGGATCACCTCCATTTTCAAAATAAGTTCCATTACCTCTTAACCTCTCTTTAAGTAACATCTCTGTAACATACTATTTTCCTTTCTCCCTCTTTGCATTCATGAATTGATTCTTTGGAAAATAAATAATTGTATGCCTTAATATCTTCTGTGTTACTGCTGTCAGCACATCATAGTGAATACGTATTATTTTATCTGCCCACTCGGCGATAATGACCATTAACTGCTGGGTCTCAGATGGAATGCTGAATACAAGCTTGTTTCAAAATGGCAGAATTTGGTTCTCCTTTTTACTGTAATAAAGCTGCTTCTGTTTGCAGCATGGTATTGCTGGGAGACTGCAGCTAATTTTTGTGGCGCATGTCAGTAGTAGTGATTCAAATTATGCATTTCATTGAGTAGCTCTTTGTAAACGGTCTTCTGTGAGGGGAAATAATTTTTTGTTTGTTTGTTTGTTGTGTTTTTTTATTTTTTTGTTTGTTTGGTTTTTTTTTGTTCTGGGGAGAACACTATCTGGAGCAGAGAAAATGATTGAATCTGGAACAAAAGCTCAGATTATTCTGTTGATAACATCATTGTACTTCTGAAGTCACTCCAAAGGGGATGGTGGCCTGGCTGAATTTACACCAGTCTGACAGTCAAATCTAATGCAGGTATTCAGGAGAATTCCAGGTGAGGCATATACATCTCCTCAGACTGCTGTTTTTCAGACTCCACGGTGCAAAACTTCAGCATGTGGTATGACTTTAAAGCGAAACAACAGAATAGAGGCTAAGATATTATGAAATAGAAAACAACGTAGTTTTGGTTTGCAACAAAGATACAGTGGCAATTTTGGGACTCTGCAGAAAATGCAGTCCTTTTTAAAATAATTGCTACGCAGCTTGCATGTGGATCAGGACATTGCATGCAATTATGGTTGCAAAAACTGGGTGTAACTGGTCATGCACCTAAATGAGAAAATACATATGTAAAGTGGAATCTGACTAATAAGTTGAAAATCTTTTGCTTGCTGAATCTGTATTCCCTTTCTGAGATGGTAGTCCATTTCCTCCTGTTCACGTTCTTAGGTTTTTAGCAGTGTCTTGTTTTCAGTCTTGCTTGCCTCTATAAAATGGTGTGTGTGTGTCTGTCTGAAGCCTGCTTGCTTATACACACAAGTCATGTCAGCTGCAATGCGGCAGTGCTTGGTGCTAATGAGGTGAGCAGGGAGAGCACCCGTCTGCTTGTGTTTTCTCATCTCTGTGCAACTGTGGCAATGGTGATTGGGCAGAGGGATATGGCTCTGTTTTGGCCTTTCCAGAGTGTGGTTCTGTGACCGCCTGACGACTGGGCAGCATATTTCTACTTCTGTTTTGGGAGTTAGGTGGTTGCTTCACTATATTTAAGGCAGGCTCTACGACGTATCCTGGTTGCGAGGAGACACAAAAAGGGGAAGTACAGAGAGGGGGACACCCTCCCTTCTCCCCCTGAATTAATTCAAATACACCTTGAAATGAAGTATATTGCCTGGCAGTATATGTCTTCAGTTTGAGTAGATGCAAGTCTGTATTTGAAAAGCAGCATCTCTGGAATAGAGATAATCAAGTAATTAATTTGGGCTAGACCTGAATAGTTACAGCTGGCCTTTCATAGGCACAGAAATACAGATGTACCATGATTTCTCCACCCACCTTCTTTCTCTTTTTTAACCCTTAAGGTGCTGACAGCAGTGCGAGTGCTGTATTTTATGCTGAAGTCAGAAAGATTTACTTTGAACATATGGCAAATAAAGTGAATATCAAATCCTATTTGTCTTTTCCGATTCCTCAAATGCTGGACTGCCTTCATCAAGCTTGATGCTGTCCCGTCCAGTCCTATTGTATTCCTGTTCCTGCAGCATGTCTTTCACTATCTCTTTTTCAGAAACAATGTCTGTAAAACTATAGCTCATGATTAAGTAATACATTGGTCTTCGTGGCAAAGCTGGCTTTTCTTCTAGTTCCTGCCTTAATGTCATGGGGTGCTTCCCTGATAGCTGATGAAAGTTATTTCTGAGTAATCATTTAGTATAAATCAGATTGTTGAAATTATCTGTGTTAAAAATACTGCTTTTTTTCTTTTTTTAAGGATCATATCTGATCTGTTACTTTGACAGTATATTATGTGACATGATACCACAAACAGAGGGACCAGTACAGCTGGGACTGGGAAAAGTATGAACAGTATCATGTAGGCAAGACCCAGTGGTGCAAGGCAGGAACGTCCTGAGCTATGGATACTGCTGATGTGAATGTAGTGTGCAGCTAACACCCATAGAAAGGATGACGTGTCAACCTATTAAAAATGTCCTTCAGCCTGGGAAGGAGCCCAAGATTGTGTGCCCTAATACAGTCTGTTCTTTGCCTAGTCCTCATTTTAAGTTAAGAGTGACGTGTATGAAACAGGTCAACTGACGAATGCATTTTAGGGAGACTTGCGCTGTTTTAATACTCACTGTTGACGTCTGGTATCTCTGTTGTGACCACATATAGCACAGTGTTTCTTTGCCTGTTTACATTCTCCTGAAGACCTTGTAGTTGATTGGGATGTTTTTCTCTTCCTTCTTTAGGTCTCCGGGTGAATGGGGAGCTGATTACTGCTTATCCTCAAGTGGTGGTTGTGCGTGTACCAACACCTTGGGTCCAGAGTGACAGCGATATCACAGTCCTTCGCCACCTAGAGAAGATGGGCTGTCGATTGATGAATCGTCCCCAAGCCATCCTCAACTGTGTCAACAAGTTCTGGACGTTTCAAGAACTTGCTGGTCATGGTGTGCCTCTTCCAGACACTTTTTCATATGGTAAGGCTTTTGGATCAAAAGGATAGCATAGCTGCCTACATTAATTTATGCTTTTGCAGTACAAGAGATACCAGTAAAATTTTGTAAATCCATAGAATTAAGTAGCATGAGGCCAGTTCCACAGATAAGTGTTCAGTAACCAGAAAAGGAAATTAAAGTCATGACACTCAGATGCTGGTTTTGGTTTTGTTGATTATCTGCGGTGCTTTGGGAAGAGTACTTCAACTGTACCTTAGCCTGCCAAGCAACTAACTTTGGCTGTTACTGCTAAAACTCTTTTCCAGTTGCCTGAAACAACAGACAAGAACTTGAGGAACTAAATGTTATAGGATACTATAAAAATCTAGAGTTTGGTAAAATCTGAAAGTAGATTAAACTTCTAGATGAATCAAAATCTCTGCAAATATATTAGTTATTGTGAAAGGAAGAAAAGAGTACAGGCCCTCGTGTTCAACTTTTAACAATTGCTTGGGGTTTGTTTCCCACCAGAACAGTTAATAATTACTGTTTTTTGTGCCTGCCTCTGGAGTCTGGTTCCTCACAGAGTGCGAGATTAGAGAAACCAGTTGTTTGAGCTATCCTGATGCTATTTCTGCCTTTAATTACAGTATATTAAAGAACTGAAGATATCTTTCAGCCTTCCTGGCCTTCTTGGGAAATACCAGTAGTTTCCTCCCTTTGTGTGGTTGCACCAATAGACTTTTATTAAGGGAACTTGGCAAAAACAAAACCATGTTTTTCCATCAATTACTATGAGTTACTGTTTTCATAAATTACTGTCAAAACACATATGAAAAGAAACATATCCTTTCTTTATAGATGTGGTTGCTCTATCTCTTTGAGAAAGGAATGAGTTTTCCATTTTTTGGGGGGAAGGGGAGACCACGAATGATGGGGTAATTGCAGAACATCTATTTGTTCATAACTCTCTGGTACTTCTTTTAACGCCTGCCTCTGGAATTTGACAGCATCGTGACCTCTCTTTTTATTTTCTCTTTTCTTCTTCCTTTTTTTTCTTTTTTTAACACAATTATCAAATTATCAGTGAGAGCTGGATTCAAGATGTGCTGAATGACATGTTATTCTGTAACATACATTAAAATCCATGGCAGGGTAGTGACGGCTGCTGTTGGCTTTGTGACCAGTGTCTTGGCTTGACTTCTCCAACTCCCTGCACACGCTGTATTTCTTGTCCTGTGGTCCACCTTCTGTGTATTGAACTGAACTCAAATAACCTTGAAGTATCAACCATAATCATGTGAATGGTCATTAAAAGCTACTTTCTAAGGTCCTTACCGATGCAATCAGATGAAAAGGTTGAAGTACTACTTCAGGAAATAGGGAGAATGAGATGCAGGAGACTTAAGCCTTGGAAAGGGGGGAGGTGGAGTGACAAGATTTGTGTTGTTGCTGCTCTCTGGATTATACCTTGTCTTTGTATTCCATGTTGCTTTCTTGGTTAGTAGTTTGGATGGTACTATTAATGGTGTTATGTCTGTGCTATTTTCCTGCTAGACGTTTGAAAAGGTGGGAGTTGATAAAGTAAAAGGGATAAACTGAATCAAGATGGTAGAATTGGGGCATTCAGATTTGGAAGATTGGATCAAGCCTTTTGGGGTTGTGATCAGCAGGCCTTTGTCAACCTGTGTTTTCCATTTCAAACAAAGTAGTAGTTAGTATCCCACAGATTACAAACACCTTCAAAGTCTGATCATGCTCCCTGACCAAGTTCCTCTTAACCAATAGTTTCTTCTGCATTATCTAAGCTGTAAGGGTGGGAGGAATGTGTGGCAATTGAATCCCCAATTTGGCCGCACCAGATTGGTGGCACATAATGTTGTTGGTTTTTTTTTTTTTTTTGCCAGGTGGTCATGAGAATTTTGCCAAAATGATTGATGAGGCGGAAGTGCTGGAGTTCCCTATGGTGGTGAAGAACACGCGGGGTCACCGAGGTGGGTGTGAGGTCAGGGGTGAGGGCAAGGAGATTTCTGAGCAGCACTCTTTAATTTGTCACGACAAGGGATAATAGTTAAGAAGGTCTATTAGGTGTTGGACTTCTTTGTGGTACATTTCAATTCTACCACACTTTGACTTCTGAATGTTGAGTAGGCTGCAACACTGGGAAGCAGTTTTAGTAGAACCTAGTCTTGCAATAGCAGCGAGGATAGGGGTTAGAAATTATGGTGCATTGGTGACTTCTGTGAGGAGAGCTTTGAACTGGAATAATGGAAGATCTGGCCTGAGGGAAAGTAGAGAGAAGCCTACATGGATTTCAGGGATGTTTTTAAATAGGCATAAGAAATGAAATTTTAGTTCATTCAGTCTTAATTTGATTTTTTTTCTACTTGACTTTATCTATAATTAGGATTCTGATTTAAACAAAATCTCATGTATTGTTTGTCAAACTAGATCTCTTTTCCAGAAAAATATCTCTGACAGTGCTGGTGATAATACAGCAGGTTCAGATTAAGTTGTTGTGTTATCAGTCTTTTAAGTATTGAATATGAAAAAATATATCAATTTCATTCAATATTAGGTAGTGATCTACAAAGGAAACCAGGTTTAAAATCTGTTTCTGAGGTTATTTGCACAGGAGATTGCACTGTTTTTAATTTACTTTAAAGCCAATGTAATAAGTACTAGAAGTAAAAAGAGACTGAAACTGAAGTTTAAGCCATAAACCAGGAATTACCTTAAACAAAAGCATAACAAAAAGATACCACTTCTTCATTCTTACTGTCTGTGAGTTTGTTCCCACTCTGTGCTGCTCTGGTGCATCTCTTCTGCTGGCATGAGTGTTTCTGTAGCCATGTAGTAAATGGATTCAGGAACTGATATTGGATAAATTTAGATTGGTTATTTTTACTTGTATTAATTCCTTACGTGAATTGTCATTTACTTGCACAAGTGCTTGTATTGATGTAATGGAAGAATGAGAGCAAAAGGCCAGGGCAGAGGAAGATCAGACCTGTTTCTCTTAGCAGTAATACATATTCATATGGCTTTAAAGCGCTTGTGATGCTCTGAAACCAAGTTGGAGTTTGACTTTGCAGCAAGCTGTATTTGACAACTGTGGAGTATCTTAGACAGTGGATTTGACTTGACACTGCTTATAGAGTTTTCAGCTATTGACTTTCTTCCTTTTAGCCAGAATTTGTGTAAATCTCTGTTTACAAATTTTTCTTTAGAGCAGTTTAAATGACAGCCATTTTAATGAAAATTTATGCACAGTACATATCCTTTCACATTGGGAGAGTTGGGGAAAAATTTTCAAATTAATTGAAGAGCAGCCATTTTCAAATTGTATTTAAAAAATAACAGGCAAACATGATCAAAGGTACTGGATGATGAGTAAAAGTCATACTCTTCTAGGCCCATTTTCTGTGTAGTTTGCTGCTGCAGTAAATGTGCCAATCTTATTTTTGCCAAGATGTCATGATGCTGCATAATTCCCAAGAACCAAGTATTTCCCATCCAAGGCATCATTCTTCCTATCCCGTATCAGGAATACAGTAGGATTATGAAGTGCCTATAGGAGAGCTAAAGTTGGGAATGGGAGAAAGCACATCAAGGTTTTTGCTTTCTTGTTATGATTTTTAAGCCTACATTCTGATAATTTACGATGAGAAATCCCATGTTCTTCAAGCAGTATTCTGCGTTATGGAGACCTTAAATCCTGACGAAGCAGAGGCTGCTCCAGTTGGGCTTTGGAGCACTTGGTGGAATTCTTCTTCACTCATTATTTCTCCTAGTTCTGCTACTACTGCATTTCTGTTCCCATAGTTAAGATAGGCAGTTTATTAATTGATTTTTGTACTCTGTTAACATTGTAGCATAACTGAGTGACAATCCTGCCACAAAAAAAAAAATTGTGCAGCCTTATTGCAAAATATAAATCTAATATGACATAAAATAGTTCTTAACAAAGGGGAAGAGGAGTTGGGAAATGTAGCTGAAGATGAAAAGGGATACCATCTTGTAAGACTAGAAGCAAGATGAAAAGTGGTAGAGTCTGTTTCAGGGGTGACTTTCATCAGTATTAGTAAAACTGGAAAAGAACAAAAGTCTGATGTACTCTAGAAATGAAGGGGAATTAAATGATGTGTTTTAGGTTAAACAAAACAAGTCCTTGAGACGGTTGCTTGCAGAAAACCTAGTGATTTCTAAAGAGTTTTTTTCAAAATTGTAGATTCCATTCATTTTATGTCTTGTGGAATCTTCTGTTGAATTATCTTGGATACTGTGGAGTCTTGTGTTTTCCACTGAACATAGTTGTTCCACTGCAAAGCCTCATTCTGGAGTTGTGAGCTCTTGTAAGTATTGGGAAGAGCAGCTCTCAGCAATTTCCCACCAGAGAAGCATTTGGTTCTGCAGTGGCACACCAGCAGCTTCAGAGTTCTTTAGCTGCCTGGTGTTTAACAGTTTCAAGTCATTGGTTCCTGTGTGTAAAAACTGTAGCCTGTGGGTCCATTCCTTTTGGATGAACAAAACTTTGTTATTAACTAAATGTCTGCTGCTCTTTAAGTATTTCTTCCTTTTTTTTCTCATTAAGGACTTGCACCAAAAGGAGTTGAAATGACAAGACCACCTCCTTTATCTAAAGCTGTTTTCTTTTCTTTCCTTTCCTCTTTTTTTTTTAATATATATTTCGGTTTTTTACTCCTCATATAGCTGCTTGACTCTGTCAGTACTTGAACACTTAGAAGCACTGAAGCAGTGGAATACTGGTGCCCACAGAAAAATTAGTAAATGGGTATAAGCTACAGATGGGGCCTGTAAGAATGGGCAGCGTACTGGTCAGAGGTTTTACTTTTACGCACAGAATCATTGACACAGCTTGTATCGGTAGCTTCTTCCAATTTTTGATGTTCTTTTCTTCATACAGGTAAAGCTGTATTCTTGGCACGAGACAAGCACCATTTGGCAGACCTAAGCCATTTGATCCGTCACGATGCCCCTTACTTATTTCAAAAATACGTGAAAGAGTCCCATGGCAAGGATGTACGTGTCATCGTAGTAGGAGGCCGTGTGGTGGGCACCATGCTCCGCTGCTCAACAGATGGGAGGATGCAGAGTAACTGCTCACTTGGTACGAAAAGGCATTGTTCATGGTTTTTAATCAGAATTTTTCAATCCAGTTGAAAAATCACAAACGCAACTGACAAAAGTTGCAGGTTTTGTTTTATTTTATTTTGAATTGATTGTGCTTACTGTTGGGGGTTTACAGAAGAAACATGAGAGTGAGGATTAAGTGGGATGCATGTTGAGCAAACACAGAAGGAAAGACATTCTCTGCCCAAAGTATTAGAAGGATAGGATGGATGAAAAGGAGGTGAAAGTTCTAGGAACACAAGCAGAGCAACTGATGTGGTAGTGGCAGTGTCATGCTAATGCCATGTTATCATTAATTTCATCCTGTTAAGAGGAACAGAAGAAGAAGGAAGACAGGAGATGAGACTGAGGGAGGTGGAGGAGATAGCCAGTTGGCAAGAGGGTAGAAGAGAGTGTTAAGGGAGGAAATTGTTGAAGACAATAAAGAATTGGAATGTATTGTGCCTCTGCTGTACTGCCTGAAGTCTGTCAGGCTCCTCCTTGCGACCTTTTCCCCCAAAGACCAGGTCTGGGAGGAGGAGGAAGGTTACTGTGTTGGTTGTAGCATACTCAGAACTGAGTTTCTGAATAGCTTTGGGTGTACGACAGGGTGGTTTCTGAGGGTAGGAGGAGGAAGGAGGGTTGAGGTTGCCTGGCTGAAACTGTACTGAACCTGAGCAGCGATGGGATAAAATGTCTTCATGTGTAGTACAGTTTTGGTTAGTCAAAATGCCTGAGAGGTTTTAGTTGCTACTTGATGCTGAGGAAATACAGCCTGCAAGATTTGCTTGCTAAACTTTTTTTTTATTTGTTTGTGTTGTTGTGGTGTTTTTTTTTTTTTTTTTATGTAAGTGTTGTGATAGATGAAGTCTGAGTCAGTTAATACCTAGATGATGGACTGTGAACTGGACCAGGTGAGGTTCAGAGACAAATGTTCCTAATTCTTGCTTTAGAGACAGTAACCTAGGATAGCAAGGTGAGAAGGACATGTGCAGATCATAATGTCTTAACCCCTCTCCCCCTGAATTATATCTGTTAGAGCTGTAGTCTTATCAGGAACACTTGGTTTAATTTTGTGGAAAGATTTATTGTGATAATGTACAAATATGTATGGAAAGCCTTTACCTTAGAAGGAACAAGGATTGTTTGTTAGGTCATCTTTTTAATATCCCAGGATCATAAAAATGTATACCTTTCATAGAGTCATAGAATGGTTTGGGTTGGAAGGGACCTTAAAGATCATCTAGTTCCAACCCCCCTGCCATGGACAGAGACACCTTCCACTAGCCCAGGTTGCTCAAAGCCTCATCCAGCCTGGCCTTGAACACCTCCAGGGATGGGGCATCCACAGCTTCCCTGGGCAACCTGTTCCAGTGTCCCACTACCCTCACAGTAAAAAGTTGTTTCTTAAAATCTAATCTAAATCTGTCCTCCTTCAGCTCAAAACCATTACCCCATATCCTATCACTACACTCCCTGATACAGAGTCCCTCCCTCTCTCTCCTGTAGACCCCCATCAGGTACTGGAAGGCTGCTATAGGGCCTCCCCGGAGCCTTCTCTTCTCCAGGCCAAACAAGCCCAACTCTCTCAGCCTGTTTTCATATGGGATGAGCTCCAGCCTCTGATCATCTTTGTGGCCCTCCTCTGGACTCACTCTAACAGGTCCATGTCCTGCCTGTGCTGAGGACTCCAGAGCTGGATGCAGTACTCCCCGTGGGGTCTCATGAGAGTGGAGTAGAGGCGGAGAATCGCCACCCTTGTGCTGCTGGTTTCTTGACTAAAAAGTCAGCACTTCACTGTTTTTTAAACAAATCATAATCTTGACCCGTCTTTGGCAGGTCAGAATCTTTTGAAATCCTGCTGTGGCTTCAAGTTCATTAGTAGTCACTGTGGAAAGGAGGTTGCTTTCTGAGTCATGAGCAGTATGCTTGCAGGATCTCTTTGGAGCTTCCCAACCAACAAGCACCAACCAGTTGAGAAGGACGTCAGTCACCTGTGACCAAACTACAGACAGCAAGTTTTTTTCACTTTTTCCAGGTGGTGTAGGGATGATGTGCTCCCTGAGTGAACAAGGCAAGCAGTTGGCAGTCCAAGTGTCAAACATCCTGGGGATGGACGTGTGCGGCATTGACCTGCTGATGAAGGACGACGGTTCATTCTACGTCTGTGAGGCCAATGCAAATGTAGGTTTCATTGCCTTTGACAAGGCTTGTAATCTAGATGTAGCTGGTATCATAGCGGACTATGCCACTTCTCTCCTTGCCCCCGGTCGCTTGACGCGGCGCATGTCCTTGCTCTCTGTGGTGTCCACGGCCAGCGAGACTAGCGAGCCAGAGCTGGGCCCTCCAGCTAGTGCCGCTGTCGACAATATGAGTGCTAGCTCCAGCTCTGTCGACAGCGACCCTGAGACCACGGAGAGAGAGTTGCTCACCAAGCTCCCGGGGGCTCTATTCAACATGAACCAGCTATTAGCCAATGAGATCAAACTTCTTGTGGAGTGATGCCACATGTAAATAGATGACCAACAGAACTCTCTCTTGTAATTTTTTTTTTTTTAAACCAACTTGCAATGCTGTTTATCAGAGAAGCTCAGAGGAATGAGGAAAGGGGGGAGGGTGTCAATCAAGAGAGCAAGAGTAAAAGGCTCACATGCACTGATTGCTGCCCCTGCTTTTTTGCAGAACATAAAATTGTGTTCATTCTTCAGCATCAGTTTTCTAGTGAAGATGCTCAGTTCACAACCTAAGGGGGAATTTTATTTGGTTGCTGCTTTGGTCCCCAGGAGTATTGCAGTTCATGTGTGTTCACAGGCAAGCATTGAAGCATGGTTCATACTTGGAAGACTTTCAGAAAGCTGTGTGGCAGCTCTCTAGAAACTTCTGTGAATTACTGCACTAGTCAAGTCTCTTCTGCCTCTGTAAGGCTTGATCCTGTAAATTGCGGCGTGCCTCAAATTCTCAGTGTGAGTTGAAGGTGTTAAATACCAGGTGTTTCAAAGTTCCTGGATACCTCCTGTTCCTACTCCTGTAGATGGGGACATGGAAGTTCAGAATCCTTTTAAAGTCATCACTTTCTGACCTTGCAGGATATGGCCTTTCAAATGATGAGGCTGAGAGAAGTGTCAGGTGACGTAACGTGGGCTTTCTGTACAAATCTGTAATTTGTGCCATCTTGGTATTAATTGGCAGCTTTGTGTCTATATTTCTTTATAAAGCTTTTGAAGGAGGATTTCAGTACTTCTGTTTTTCTCATTTCAAATACTGATTTTGGAAGGTATGTAGGGGAATTAGTCATATTCTATTTGTGGCACAAGTGGCACGTTTTAGCTATTTTTTGCATGGTTGGAGGAGATAAACAGCACTGTAATGTTTGGTATACAAAACAATGTTTAATCCAATGTGAAAACGAATTACACTAGTTTAAAGCAAACGTGCATTGACTTGTATTTGTTAGTGTTTTAGTCTTTTTGAGAGAGATCTGCAATGTTAATGTTCCTTTTTCTTTAATACATGCTAGTCCAACACTCCCTTCTCTATGCCTGCATCCTTAAGAGTGGCCAAAGTGAAAACGCTGCAGACTATTTGTTAAGAAAACACTGAGTTAAATTCTGTACCTTGGTGGGGTGGTGGGGGTTTTTTTTGTTGTTTTATTTTTTGCTTGGGGGGAGGGGGGAGCGGGATGGAGATGGTAAGGTGTGGAGGAGGGAAAAATTGGTTAAAAGTGATTAGACCTCTTGAGGTACTTGAGAATAAAGCTGCCGTTCATACAATACTTACCAGGCTTACTTTTTCCCCACTGAACATAAAAGCTGATGTTGGCAGAAATCCAAAGAGTATATCTGGGGAGAAATACTAAATTCTTAGCTTTGGGAAACATGCAGCACAAAGAAAAGTTTAAAAGAAAAAAAAAAAAAGGAAAAAAAAAAGTAGAGCTCAGCCAGAATTAAAAAATATAAAATATATAACGTAGGTCCACAAACAATTAAGAAATTGATCCTGGACCCTTATGTGTGTGGTGTGAGTGCACACACTTCTGTGTGTTTGTGTGTGCGCATTTGCTTTGCTTTATTTCTTTTTGGGTTTTGGCTGTTTAGCTCCTATTTTTTTTCCAGGCCACCTGATTTTCCTTAGTCCTTCTGGCTATGCATTT